CAGCATGTCCTGGGGGTGGCATCCTGCCTGGGATGGGCCTGGACCCACGGTCCTGCTGGGGTGCTGCCTGTCCCCACCTGGGTCCCAGGGCAGCACAGGGAGGGGTGGCTCACCCCCAGCGGGGTGCTGCTGCTGATACACACTTCTGGTCCTACCGAGTTCCACGAAGAACCCTCATTGCAGGTGTTCTTTGCTTGCCTGTCAGCAGTCTCTTCAGGACCGTTGATGGGCCTTGCGTACCAGAATGACACTCCGTCTGTCCCTACTACCTTGCTAGGACTTGACCTTGAGGCTTGTGGAAGTACAGACAAATCAAGTACGAGTGATAGGACTTGAAGGGGGTTTTAGCTGAGCCATTGTTTCCCTAATTTAAAAGAAAGCTTTTTTTTTTCTGCACAAATAGGAAGCGTGGAGTTTCCCGGCCGCATGTGTCGCTGCGAACTGTGGGGACAGTGCACGGGGACACCCTGCAGCTTCCACGCTGGGGAAGAAGGAACCGTAAACGGTCACTTTTTCCCAGTGAGGATGTGAGTGCATGGCACAGGAGTGATGTTGACTCATTATCCATTGCCTAAGTGAGGAAATGTCTGTCTATCCAGAAGTCAGCCTAGCCAGGCTCAATGACTTTATAGTTTTCTGTGTGTTGCTTTCATTTTCTCTTCTCTTTTCCTTCAGATGAACTCTGTTAGGTTTCTATTTGAGCGTAAGCCAAAGCTGCCTGGAAAAGGGCTTTGTTCAGGAAACTTAGAGAAGTGCTGTGAAGTTTAGCTAGAACTCAGCTTGGATTGCAGTTCTGGGTAGCAAGAACATGAAAGGAAAATCTGACTTGTAGTCATAATGGAAAGCGTGGTGGGAGGGAGGGTTGTGAAGATTTAATCAGAGCGCTGTAATAGCCTTCCTATGCAAATTGGTTAGCCTGGCTCAGGTTACCCATTTCACAGCCTTGTATAAGGGCTTGTTTCTTCAGAGGGCGATGTTAATAGTGAACAGCAGCTTTGCTCCTTTCTGAAGCAAAATCAAGTGCTGGATCCTGATATTTCAGTAGCGCTGGGGATAAGATCAGGGAGATAGAGCAGGTTATGCTGTCTGCAGAGCAATACCAGAGGGAATGCCCCTGCCATTAACCAGCTAGAGAAAATCCTGTTCCTGCTTACCGAATCTCAGCTCTTTGGCTGCTGTGATATTTATCCATGCTCAGGATAAGGTGTGAATGCAACGTACGTCACCAGGCTGTCTGGTTGGAAGGAGCCAGCCCCAGCGTGGCCTGGAGGGCGTTGCCTCTTTGATAGTAACCCAGCCTGAGTCTGATCCAACCATTGCTTTGGGGAGTTTGGGCAGACTGGTGTCACACACGGCTCTTTGTGCGAGCAGCTGCCTCCTCCCCGATTAGCTGGTTAGCAGGGTGAGCCAGGCGACGTGCACGGGTGTCCTCCTCTGAGCTGCCCGGCAGAAGCAAGAAGCGACCCTGGGGCTGTCGGAGACCGGGCAGCTCTCGTGGAGCAGAGCTGCTAGTGCTCTGGAGCACTCGAACAAAGGCTGTTGGAATCAGTCCTCCGGCAGGGAGAGGAATTAGTCACCCTATTCATTCTTCCCAGCCAGCTTGTGTCGCTGTGCTGATGTAAAGTCAGGGTATGAATTATTTACGGTGGGCTTTCCCACCGTAGTAATGCCAGTGAACCGAGCCGGAGCGGGAGCGTAGGGCTGGGGGCACGGCGATGCTCGGTGCTGGGTGTCACCCACCGCCGAGGTGATGGCAGTGAGGGGCTGCTGGGCGGTGGCGGATGAAACCCCAGGCGTGTGGCACGCAGCATCCTGTGCCTTCCACGCGTACCGCAGTCTTTCGTAAATGAAAGAGCTGGGCTGTGCTGCCGGGGAGGAGGAGGAGGACCAACACACCACCAGTGCGCGTTGCCATGGAAACACTGGTCAATTGATGCGCCATCAATCGCAATACAAATCATTTTCTATGTTTGCGGCTTTGTGGGGTTTTTTTTTTTCCTCGCTACAATCAGGTGGCATCGCTGTCTAGTATTCGTCACACTGCATCTCTCCTAGGAGTTTGGGAGAATAACAGAACCTTTAAAGAAATGGAGCTGTGTAGGCTGAGCTGGTGAATGAGGCTGGAGGCAACTGATGAGGCTCTGACTCCTGCGGAGCAGCAGGAGGGGGAACGGAGGGAACTCGTGGCCATCCAGGGAGTGGGCTGGAAGCAGAGCTGTGCAATTCCCGGGGTCTCAGGAAGACACTCGCTGTTGTTGCTGCCTGGGGAAAAGTCAGAGTTTCCCTTTTTGTCTGCTGGGGTTGAGCCTGGAAGGGGCTGTTTAATGCAGCAATGTGTCCGAGGTTGGGTGAAGAGGGGGCATGTGTTGGTCCAGATCCTGTCGGCTAATCCTAGGCACGTTGCTTCAACAGCCTCTGTCTAGTTGACTTGAATTCGGAGATGTGTTATTCTTTCCCTGATAGACAGCTCTGTGGTTTGTTTCCCCACAAACTTGGGGGGCTTGTTCATTATATTTGCCACTTCAGCTCTAGGAATAAAATATAAATGATGGGAATTTTCATTTCTCATAGGATTTGCTCCAATGTCTAAAAAAAACCCCACCCCTGCATCTCTAGTGAGGGGTTAATTTGGAGCATGGGATTGCTTAATATATTACACTGAGCTTTCCCAGCCTGCTGTTAGGGTTTGAAATAGCAGTGTGTCATAACACAGCTGGTCAGATGAAGCTTTTGTTTTTGCCAGGGCTAGGTCTTCGGCTGTATGATAGTGGCAGGGTAAGGATGCTTAGTGGAATCTTCCCTAGACAAGATGCATAGGATTCAATGTGGGTCACGTTTGTCCCCCCCAAGCCCCCAGGCCATCTGTATCCCATCTCTCCTCCAATATTGGCTTCATGTGCAGGAGCGCGCAGCTGTTGATGCACGCGGAGACACTGTAGTCGTGCCTGCCGGCCCTGCGCTCGGCGCAGAGACGTTGTTTCTTTGGCGATTATGTTGTACCCGGGCAGGATGAAGTTGCTCGAACTCCCACGGGATATGAATCATTGTGGTATGACACATTCAGTGGTTCTCACGCTGCTGCCTCTGAGAAGAGGCAATACAACTTGAGCTACACAAGCTCTAAATATAAAACCTTAAATAGGAGTTATTCTCCTCTGACCGCTAACAGAAATACTGAGGATGATCAACAAAAATATCCTTTGCCATACTGGTGTCGCAGAACTGGAAGGCACTTCTGGAATTGCTCAGTTCAGCCCTTGCCAGTGGAAACAACCTCATCCTTGATGACCCTAAGTCAGCTTTCCTACAGCGGCGCTTGGTGATGCTGCTTAGGCTTGTGTACACAGCACGCTTCCTTCTGGAAGCGTCACACTGCTACCAGAAAAAGTGAGCTGGTTGAGCATCCCGACTGCCCTCCCTCTCTTGCACATTCAGTTGTTTTTACTCAAGTTTGGGCTTACTCCGGAGGCAGAGCATTGTTCTTCACTGCTCATTAAAAAAGGAAATTCTGTGGAGATCAAGAAGAGCTTGCTTCCTGAGACAGCTGCACATGCAAACCCTTGTTTTTCCATGTTTTTTAGAATAGTTCAGTTGATAGAAGTGCCCAGGACAACCTCAGCTTTCCTAGACTCCTCCAGGCCATATTACATCCACCCCTGTGCCTGTCCTAGGGAAGCGAGGTGTGTGTGTTTAGCCACGGGTGCCTGGAGAGAGCAGCACGAGCCCGTCCTAGGAGCCCGAATCGGCAGCAGCAAGCTGTTAGCAGGGAGTACTGGGCAAGACAAAGCTGCTCTGTCTGAATTGACAGTGAGAACTGCCCGCAGTTATTGAGGAGAGAATTCAGTGTTGTAAGCTGTCTGTATAAAAGGTATCTGCCCCAAGTAACCCAATTAGCACTACTTAATTTCAGGCCCTGCAGTGCAAGCCACAGGACTGGAGAGAGCAGGAATTTGTCTAGCGTGCAGGCTGCTGCTGTGCGGACAGCGATCAGAACGGAGCTGAAAGAAGTGAGATGGGAGCGGTGGGCTGACCGCCTGCTTTGCTGACCTGCCCCGCGGGGCAACGGTGCCGCAGGCTCCGGGGTAAAAGGATGCGTCGCTTGGCGTAGCCTGAGGTCTCACTGCAGCAGCTCTTCAACCAGCTGCTTTGAGCAGAACAGCTCAGGCAGCGATAGCCTCCTGGGCAGGCTGGATTAAAAGGATCACCGGACTGACGCTTGATGACTTTGTCTTTTGCTAATTCACCCGGTGTCTTCCTTCTCCAGTTACGCGGTTATTGCCTACGGCTGTGCCAGCTGCCCCAAGCTGACCTGCGAGAGGGACGGCTGCCAGACGGAGTTCTGCTATCACTGCAAACAGATATGGCATCCCAACCAAACCTGCGACATGGCCCGCCAGCAAAGGGCACAGACGCTCCGAGTACGAACCAAGCACACGTCGGGGCTCAGTTACGGACAGGAATCCGGGCCGGGTATGGATTCACGTGGGTTTTTTGGTTACTTGGTGCTGTAGTTCTGCCTGTGAAGCTGAGAAAGAGCCACCTGCGTGCCAAACCCCCTCCTGTGGAAGCAGGGGGGTGTTAGTGCCCTGTGAGGAACGCTGCTGAGGGTCTCCAGCAGCCACGGGTGAGGACAGCTGTGAAGCTCAGAGTCATTTCCCCTTCTCGTACATGTTAGAACAAATCTGGCGGGCTTCTCCAAGAATGCAGAACAGATCAGTAGGTGACGACGTGCTTTAAGTCCTTCCACGTCACGGCAGCTCCCCTCATCCGCCCCAGCTAGGCTTGTGGCTGTTTTGATCTTGGATGTTCTTGCTTCTTGCTGATCTAAACCCTGAACAAATAGGCGCTTTTTAGCCTTGCAACTTCAAATTTGTCTGCTGCGGTAGTAAAAAGTAGCATTCATGCCTAGCTGAGTGTGGGGAGCCTCGCTCTGTGCACTGTTAGGTGTTAGTAATGTCAGGTACAGAAAAAATGCCAACCCACAGACTCCTACACTGCCTGGTAGGAGCTACTGTGTCTGTTGAGTTAGTGTTCATTAAAAATAACTGTATTGACTCTGGAAGTGGGCGGTAAGGCCATTTCATGAAGTCCTGCCCTACCCCCAAACAAAACACCCTACTTCTCCTTCTGTATCAGGAGTTAAAATGTTAATACACATCCTTCCAACGGAGCCATTGTGGGTGGTTCAGAGGTGGCTTAGTGGTACGTTGAGGTTCAACATGCTCCAGTGAGAGGGCCCTGATAATGGACAGCACAGATACTACCACAGCCTGCGATACATACCAGCAAGTAAAAATAGTTTCTGAGTTTTTTTCACCCTTTTAAAGGAGATCCCTGCCAGGAAGAGCTTAGCACTTAGCCACTGAAAGGGAGGTTCTTGAGACAGTGGTTTTTCCCCACCCCATTCTTGCTGGATTCAGTTTAGTGATTAATAAGGTGCGAGCAGATCTCAGCAGCTGGATTTTATATTGTCGAGTGGTGCAGAAGCTGCCAGCAAAGCCCTGAACCACCACACCGCCATTGCGTAACTGCGATCAGATGACACTTGAATTAAGGAAGAGATGAAGGACGTTTATCCTGCTCTGCCAGCAGCAAACTGGGGACTGGACAGCCTCCGCGCCGGACTGCCATGTGCGGCTGCAGACCTGGTTCCCCTTTTGGCTGCTTCTGAAGGGCAGGTTTGGAGTTTCTCCGATGCCTTGTTCTCCCAAGTGTTCTGTCATTCTTGGCCCGTGAATCACCTTAGTGGAGCAATTTAGCAATGGTTTGTTCTTACACTGTTGCCTTGGCTAGCACAGGGCAGGTAGGACTTGTTCCCAGCATTTAAGCATGTTCTGGAATACATCCCGTTCGAGGCTAGAATGAGCTTTTAACGTGACTGTTATTCTCGGCCCTGCTGTTTGGGCAAATGGCTTTGGTGGCATCAGCCTCGTCAACGTTATCTTCTTGCTCTAAAGATAAACTAAAGATACTACCACCCCGCTTTATCTGTGATTAGTGAAGGTGTTCTGCCCGCACAAAAACCAAGGGTTTCAATCCATAACGAGAACCCCCTCATTGATTCTTCATACTCACAGCACAGAGTCCAACTCGATCCCATGCTTTTTCCCCCGTAGCTGATGACATCAAGCCATGTCCGCGTTGCAGTGCTTACATCATCAAGATGAACGATGGGAGCTGCAACCACATGACGTGCGCGGTGTGTGGCTGCGAGTTCTGCTGGCTGTGTATGAAGGAGATCTCAGATCTGCATTACCTCAGGTGAGGAGGGGAGCGGCACGCCTGGATTCCTGCCGGTGGGATGGGACGTGCTTCTCTGAGGCTGGTTGGAGGAGTTCACTTCGTGTGTTGGCCTTTCATCCTCCTGCCTCTCCAATTAGTCAGCAGAATTTCAAAATTTTCTTCTTTCTGCCCCAGAGCTGAACTTTCTTCCCAATTTACAGTATAAGGATGTTCTTCCACACCAAGAAAAGCTCCTCCTTATACAGTTGTGTTTGAGAGCTCTTGGCATATGGGGTGCTAAACATAGGCCTGGTAGTGTGATAATCGCCTTGATGAGCAAATTAATCTTGGGGGGGGGGGGGGGGAAGAAGGAAACCTTTTTTGTGCTGTCTACACAAACTTGTTCCTAAGTTTTGGGGTTTGTTCACGTGAACAAGCTGAACTTGGGGTTCTCAGGAACGCTTGGGAACTGCTGCGGTGCTAATGTCATTTCCCTTCCTTTGATTAAGCCCCTCCGGCTGTACGTTCTGGGGCAAAAAGCCATGGAGTCGTAAAAAGAAGATTCTCTGGCAGCTTGGCACGTTGATCGGTGCTCCTGTAGGCATTTCCCTCATCGCCGGCATAGCCCTTCCTGCTATGGTCATTGGCATCCCTGTGTACGTTGGGAGGAAGGTAAGTGTGGAGAGCAGAAGGCTGGTGCTGAAGGGTTTGGGGTGTTCTCTGTACTTGAGAAATGTAGAGCTGATACGAAGGGTGGATCTTGTCACAGAACCAAAATTCAGCTATCTCTTCTAAACCTTGTCTTATCTTTTGGGCTTTGTGTGGGGTTCAACCCACCACAAAAGGGAAGGTGTTGACTGATAGCCCTTCAGGCTGAAGTCCTCTCAAACGCGTTTTGCATTGCTCTCGTGCCTCTGCCTTGAACCAGGAGCACCCAAGGAGAAACCTGGTCCCTTTTTAACGTATGCTGCGATGATGGGCTCTATGGGACAGTGGCTGGACGCTGAGCATCACGCTTTGGCTTGCATAAGTCACTCATGTTTTGATGCTGACCTGCTGCCCCAAACTGCATGGTACTGTTGTGTGTCTGTGCTGATAAAGAGGCGTTGAGAGGGAAGAAATGGCATGTCAGCACTATATTTGTAGCTTCTTCTTTTTCATAAACACAGACCCACTTGCTAGATCTGATCTGCAAGGAGATCAGTGGTCAAGATGAGGTTCTTCAAGGGCTAATGCAGCTGACAAGGCTGTAAAATCACAAGATTATTAATGTCTTCTGCTGGTGGTGGCTCACGACCAGGCTCTTTTCTCATCTGGTGCTTCTCCTTCCATCAGATCCACAGCAGGTATGAGGGAAAGAAAACCTCTAAGCACAAGAGGAACTTGGCCATTACTGGTGGGGTCACCTTGTCTGTCATTGCCTCTCCAGTCATCGCTGCTGTCAGTGTTGGTAAGTGGGCACAGTCCCTTTCCCTTCTGGTGGGCCAGTAGTCACTGAGACAGGTGGGTAGCCCAGCCCTGTGAGGTGGGGGGTGGCCAAAGGACACTTTGCAGGCTGCTGCTGTGTGTTCTGGGCACATCCCTCCGTTTCACATCCAGGCTGCACGTCCTCATGGGCTTGAGTTGGCCTGGAGCCACCACTGGGCTTGTCTGGAGCACCAGTTGCCTGTGCCACAGCCCATGGTGGAGTCCTTGACGCACGGAGCTGTCTCTTATCAGCCACCAAACCGGTCCATGGGTGGCTTGGGGGTCCAGCTGAGGCTGGCTGTGCTCTTGGGGTTCCCTCATTCTTCACTGCAGCAGCACAAGCCAAGGGCTCCTCCGCCGTCTCTCTGCAAAGTTGTGAACTAGAACCTGTGTTAAAAGCAGTGCACATATAACTGAAAGAGTCCCTACCCCAACGAGTCCTTTCTGTCTGCCCAAGCCAGCTCAGCCTTAAGCTCCTCTTAACTCAGCGCGCCCTGCCCTCCAGGTATCGGAGTCCCCATCATGCTGGCTTACGTCTATGGTGTTGTGCCAATCTCGCTGTGCCGAGGCGGCGGCTGTGGAGTTAGCACCGCCAACGGAAAGGGTGTGAAAATTGAGTTTGATGAAGATGATGGACCGATCACAGGTAATGTGGTAACTGGGGAAGGGGGTGAAGCAAGTCCCTGTCATTGCCTCTTGTAATGAAATGGTTGGGGGCCTTAAAAGCTCCCAAATCTGAACGTCTCTCTTTACCTGGGTTTGGCTAGAAGCAGTTATTTGCTTCAGTCTTCTGCTGGTGATCGGCTGTGTGGCTCTCAGAGCAAACTCTCAGCTCTTCCTTGCCCTGGACGAGGCAGGGAGGCAGTCTGAGATGAAACACGTGCTGTCTGACCCCCAGCGCCATCGCAGCTGGACGGTTCCCTTGCTGATTCCAGTTCCTGTGCTGTCCTTCCCTGCAGTGGCTGATGCGTGGCGAGCCCTGAAGAACCCCAGCATTGGCGAAAGCAGCATCGAGGGGTTGACCAGTGTGCTGAGCACCAGCGGCAGCCCCACCGATGGGCTCAGCGTGATGCAGGGCAACTACAGCGAGACGGCCAGCTTCGCCGCCCTCTCGGGCGGTACCCTGAGTGGCGGTGTCCTCTTGGGAGGCAAGGGGAAGTACAGCAGGTAACTGAACTCATGGGCACGGCGAGACAGGGGTGGAGGCTCCCAAGGCTGGCGTTGGTTGAGGAGGCTTATTTTGGGGAGCTCTTCAGGACTGTGAGCGGTCCTTCTTTGACTTGGGAGTCACGTCCTAGTGTTTTTACTTCTTGCTCTGTTGTAGCATAACCAGTCTCAGCAGACCAGGCTACTTCTGGAGTCAGTGCTAGGCTGGTTCTTGCAAGGAGAACAAAAGATAAACAAGTTTCTGTCCATGCTGAGCTCCTTGAAACTGCAGAGCTGATGCTTCAGATTAATTGGGAACAGTGCAGAGATGCTCCGTGGCCTGCTTTAAAGATCTTCTAGTCCTCTTATCCCAGCCTAAAGGTTTTGATGTTTCCTGTTCCCTAGTGGCCTATAGCAAGCAGGGTCACTGCTTTCCAAGTCAGGAGGTTACATCACAGTTTTCCTCTAAAGTTGCCTGTGAGTCAGTTTGCTGGATAATTAGAGACACGTGTTGATGTGGCAGCCAGGATATAATCATGGCTGTGCGCTAGATCTGTGGAAATCTGTTCTTTGTGGGAATTGCGTGAGTCATAGATATAAACACAACTTCACCTTCGTCATGGAAAACAGAATGGGTTTACCTGAATGGAGCCAAAAATGAGACTAAATGGGAGGAACCGTTGGGGTTAAACTCTGTCATGCCAACCTGCGCCAGCACAGAGGGCCTCTTGCTTTCCCATGAGGAACAGTGATGCCTTGGTGCCCCTCGGGGACCATCTCAGGCGTTTCTGAGGAATCCTCCTTCCTTTTGCAGGCTGGAAGTTCAGGCAGATGTCCAGAAGGAGATTTTCCCCAAAGACTCAGTCAGCTTGGGGGCTATCAGCGACAACGCCAGCACTCGAGCCATGGCTGGTTCCATCATCAGCTCTTACAACCCCCAGGACAGGTAGGAGGACAGGCGATGGTGAGAAGAGTGTTGGTAGTGGGTGTCCTGGGAAAATCTGTGCTCTGCAAGGTGCTGCTGTGGGTGGGAGGATGACTGTAGTTGCACCAGCCCGTTCTTCTGTAGCAGGGGAGTGGATTGATCCTTTTACTCGCACAGAAGGACTGGGGACAATTTGGGAGCAGCCTCCATGGGTGATGTGGACGCTGAGGAGGGGAGCTGCAGCCCAGGACCCTCAAGGTCTGTTCCTGGCTGCTCACGGGGACTCTGGTGCTTTCCCAGTTTGGTTCCTGGCTCAGCCGGGGGATGATGTGGGCTGCTGTCGGGAGGACTCAAGGAGAGCAGCGAGTGGTGGTGTTCCCCAGATGCCGTGGGGTGGTGAGCAGCATCTTGCTCGTATTTGGGAAGCGTGATGCAGTGCGCGGTGGTGACCCAGTTGAACCCAGTAGCTGTACCCAGTAACTAAGGGTGTTTGTTTCTGCAGGGAGTGCAATAACATGGAGATCCAGGTGGACATCGAAGCCAAACCGAGTCACTACCAGCTGGCCAGCGGCAGCAGTACGGAGGACTCTCTGCATGTCCACACCCAAATGGCAGAGAATGAGGAAGAGGAGGAGGAGGAGGAAGAGGATGGTGAGCAGGAGCAGACATGCAAACACCAAAGCTGTGAGCAAAAGGACTGCGTTGCCAGCAAAACCTGGGACATCACCCTGGCCCAGCCTGAGAGCATACGGAGCGACCTGGAGAGCTCCGACAGTCAGTCGGACGACGTGCCAGACATTACCTCGGATGAGTGCGACTCCCCCCACTCTCAGACTGCAGCAGCCTGCCCGCAGACCTCCAAAGCTAGAGGTGCCGAGAGCCCAAGTGCCCACCTGAGCCACTGTGCCCAAGCCGAGGGCTGCAGGCTGGATGAGATAGTCAAACTGGAGTGCATCGAAGCCAGAGTATGAACTGGCCTCCTCCTGAAAAGCACACTTGCTGTCGTTGCATCTTTTGGGGCAGGGTTGTGTCCGTGTTGGCTTCTGTTTGCGATTCTCCAGGCGGCTCCCCAGCCTCGCCTCGGGGAGTTGCTGTTTCTTACGTGACAAAAAAGAAAAAGGAAAAAAAAAAAAAATCCCCCGCCCTCTTTTTGTTTTAATTTATTGGTTCAAGCTCTGTGAGATGTGTAAGAGTGTAAATATGTACGTGTGTCTGTATGTCTGCAAACATCCTAAGGGACTATTTGAATAAAGACTCTGGTTGTCATTTGACTCGCATCCAGCTCGTCCTTTCCAGAGCTGTACGGTGAAACCCTCTGGCTGCCTTTGCCCTGTGCTCAAGCGTTTGTAAACACTGCCCTAGCCCACGGCGTGGGGAAAAGGGGGACATCTCCTCTTCTGCCTCTAGAAAGCGTGGTGTGACAGCCTTGTTCTGGGGATGGTGTGCGTGCCACATGGCTGCAGAGGCTGGACCTGCTTTGCTCTGACGCTGTAGCAGGGAGAGGTCCCTCTTCTCCTCCCTCCCTGTGCAGCAGGGCTGAGTACAGGTTAAAAGAGGGGAAGGACGGGGGCTAACGCTGTGCTGAGCCGAATTCCCAGCGCTGCCCAGTGTGAGGGATCTGGGCTGGTGGCTCAGGCGGGATGTTAGGGACAAGTGCCTTTGAGCCCTTCCCCAGACCAGCCCCAGGAGCCAAGGCTGCAGTGCTGTCCCTGTAATGAAATTGTTGGTGCCCCGTGTCTGCAGAGAGCATTGCTTAGCACACTTCTCCCACGAGCGAGGGAGATCTCCCCCTCAGCAAGCTGTTGTCCCCAGCCCCTCTCAGTCTCTTGCTATCAGTAATTTCCCTGGAAGCTTTATTGGGGTGATTGCCACCACACCGGCTCCTCTGAGTCACCTTCTGGGAAGTCGACACCAGCCCTGACCCCTCTGCTTTTCTGCAGGTCGATCCCTGGTCCCTGACGGTGCTGGTCTCTGCCCCGTGGTCTGGCAGCATCCCACCCCAAGGGGCTGCCCCTTCGCAGACCCTCAGCCCGTGGCCTCGGACCTGTCCGGCTGGATCCCAACCTGCTGCCGTCGCTGTAGGGCAGACCAACCCGAGTGGGCCGGGGAGGTGGGGATGGATGGGGAAGGGGATGAGGCAGCGTGGCATGGTGTATCGGCACGGCATGGCACAGTGTGGCATGGTGTATCGGCAGGGCATGGCACAGCATGCCACTGCCCGGCCACCGGCTCAGCAGCAAGGGGAGCACAGGGGTGGGGACAGGGCTGTGCTTCCCCTTGGCGGAAGCAGACGAAGGTGGAGTTATCCCTTTGTTCCTGCCGGGGAGCTGGTCCGACAGGAATTGGAGTAGCAGTGGGGTGCAGCAGGTGAGCAGCTCTGGTGGCCTGGTCCTGGTGCTGGTCCTGGGGCCAGTCCCCGATGGATCCGGCTGCCAGCCTGGGGACTGAGGGCAGGGCAGGTCCCAGGGGCGCTGAGGGACTCTGATGGCCTCATCCCAGCCCGGTGAAGATGTGTCAAGTGGGTAAG